AGGCACTTCGGGGTCCGCCTTAGCGCGCCCAGACTAGACGCGATAAGTCGAACCCAGAACTTCGATTTCCAGCCGTCGAACTAGCTGGTAAGTGTAGCCAAGGCCTTAGATAATACCATGTTCTGTCACTTTAGCCTCTTGAGTTGAGGAGCACAAATGGAACCTTGTAGACCTGATTCTCCCCTGCCTTACACCTTGTGCAGTCATTTGCACCTGTGCAAAGTGGGAGTAAAATACCACCAAGTCAGAATTCTTCTTTCACTGGTGGTAGCATTTGACACCCTATTTGCATTCACTTTTCACAAGTGTAAATTTGACTCTACAAGGAAGAATCACGCCTAGGGTGCCACCGTTCTAATGGCTGGTAACTGGACCCCTCACGCCCCACTCCTTGCCCTGCCCGTTCCCCCGAAGCCCCGCCCCTGCTCTGCCTGTTCCCAAGCCCCCTCCCCTCCATCACTTGCAGGGTCTGCACCAGCATAGCTGAGGCCGCTTTGCCTGCCACTTGCGGGCTGCTCAGTGCCACGAGCCGCACAAGCAGTCTGGCCCTGGAGGCGGCAGCTGCTGTTGCTGCCCTGCCTCCTTCCTTCCACTTAGGATTGCAACCTTTTCCACAGATCGAAAACAACGGACATCAGGGCTTGTCAAATGGCACCTGAACACACAAGCTGAAACCCAGACTGTCTGGGTGGAAACCAAACAGGTGGCAACCTCATGCCCTGGGTTGTAAGGAAAATGGACCTCATGGAAAATTTTGGTCTTAATCTCAGTAATTCAGCTTTCCCGTCAGTAAAATGGGAACAATGCAAAACAACATAAAGATGTTCTAAAGATTGATTTGTTAATGTTTGAAAAATGCTTTGAAGATTGGGAGGGGGGGGGAGAATGGTAAAAGACATTTTATTTATAAATGCATTAAAAATGATCATGACTGGACACAATATAAGTTTAACATACAAAGTGATGACCTCCACATCTGATACCCCAAAATAACCGGTTTGTGGTCACACAATGGAAACATTGTCAAAGATCTGTTTGTCCTTGTGAAAGTATTTCTCCATAAAGCAGCTGATTATGTTTCATCTTCTCACGGTTGCTGCTGCCTGTATGTGTGTGGGCTTATTAGTGGCTATTCTAATTGGCATGATACATTTTTACCTTTATAGCTTGCTCATTTGTACTGATGCACTCCCTCTTTTGTGTTTTTTCTCTCCATGTGGTGAAGGTCCAGAAATCTCTTGCATGGTGATTGGCTACAGATTCTATAGACCATATTCAGATGACTCACTCAGAAGGCATTTTTAGTATATACCATTCCTGAGCAAGTTACAACAAAATCCTATCATAACCTCTGTGAAAGACATGCACAGATATGGCCTATAAGGCATCAGTTTCTGGTGTTTGTATCTTGTTTTGTTCCCTTTGCTAAAAGATTCAGTTCAGTCTTAAAAACTAAAGCTACATTGGTCAAATGTGGGTGCCTATAGGTGGACACCTAAATTAGTGGCCTGATTTTCAGAAGTGCTGAGCACTCCCACGTTCCATCAAAGTCGTAACTCACTGCTCAGCATTCTCTGGAAATGGAACTGCTTTTATTTAGGTTCTTAAACATGGACTTAGAGGCATAACTTTAGGCACCTAGATTAAACATTTTTGCCTGAATAAATTGGCAAGTGGTTACTGCCCATTGTGTGAAATATGATCTCTGAGATCAGAAACTTATTTTTCTTTCTGTTCCTCTGAAAGTCCAAGGCTGTTTGGGAAAATGTTACCCAACATAGTGATGTAACAGCCACAATTCTCTAGAGTCCATCTTAGTTAACTACACATTCTGTCGATATGAAAGGATCATATTGCATTGCAGCTGAGTATTCTTACAACACTCCTGAATCCATTTGTTTAAAGAAAGTAATTGAACACTAGGTGAAATGTTAAGCACCCCACATGTTTGATGGAAAATACTATACAGCCCAATAATGGCTAATTTTCCCCTATTAGTCATTTCCTATCTGGTGTCGTATCTGATTTCCTGAACTACATTGAGACTTGTTGCCGAAAAATCTTCTGCAGATCCAAAATAATTTTTTAAAAATGCTACCCCCATCCTCCTGGTTTGTATCTTCCCCAAAGAAATAAGCTCTTCTCGAGAGAAATAGTTTAGCAACCATATCTCCCCTTTTCCAAGCAGAAGTGAGAATGTTGGTTCTGGGTTTTTAATTTTTATTTTAATCTTGTATCTTTTATTTCTGTTACACTAAAGATCAGGAATGAAATCTTGAATCAGGAATGAACCAGTAAGGTCAATGTAGTTTGCCATTGACTTCAGTGAGGCCAAGATTTCACCTGAGGTTTCCATTAGACTGCACTTTGGAGAGCAACATGGTCCCTGATTCATAGTCTTATCTTGAGGGCACATTCTTCTTACAAAGTTCCTTCTTACTTGATACTCATTGTTTACCTGATTTTTGCTGCTTCATGTGAGAAGAGTAAACCACTCACATTCCTTTCCACAGACATTTTACACAATCCTCAATTTTTTAACAGCACTCTCAGGAGCTTTCTTTTTTTGCAGTTGAGAAGCATATCGCTCTGACCATAATGGGCCAGATTTGTTCTTGATATAACCAGGTGCACTTCTGTGGAAGTCAGAGGATTTCTGGTAACAATTTTAATTACTTAAAAAAATTTTGTTGAGCTCTGAGGAATAATGTTGATGGGCACATAAACACTGGGGTGATAAGAATATTGTAAATGTTTATACTGTGTTTTATTTGTACTGTAGTACAATCCTTAGAAGCCCCAGCTGCGATCAGAGCACCATTGTACAAACACACAGTGAAAAGCAGTCCATGCCCAGTGTTTTATTAATCTCTACTTTCTCAAAATTCCCTTCACAGAAATGTCATATATCGTCTATATTTATACTGTATAATTGAATAAATTCTGCATGATTATATATTTTTAAATATTAATACATTGGGTTAGTTGTTTTGCATATACTTGTCAGCAGTATTGTGAATGCAGGAGAACCTCAGAGTTACAAATGCCTCGGGAATGGAGCTTGTTCGTAACTCTGAACAAAACATTATGGATTTTCTTTCAACAGTTTACAACTGAACACTGACTTAATACAGCTTTGAAACATTACTATGCAGAAGAAAAATGCTGCTTTTAACTATCTTAATTGAAATTAAACAAGCACTGAAACAGTTTCCTTACTTTGTCAAATCTTATTTTTTAAACTTTCCCTTTATTTTTTTTAGTAGTTTACGTTTAACACAGTACTGTACTCTATGTATTTATTTATTTATTTTGGTGGTTGTTTCTGCTGCTGCCTGATTGTGTACTTCCAGTTCTAAATGAGGTGTGTGGTACACTGGTTAGTTTG